GGAGACGATATGGTGCCCTCTATATATCTTTTGTTAGTCATCTGATCGAGACAAGAGAGCTTGGCATATTGTTTCCACGTATATCAATTATCGGAGACAATATGGTGCTCTCTATATATCTTTATTTAGTCCACTGTTTGAGACAAGAGAGTTTGAAATGATTTTTTTCGACATCTGTCAACTATCGGAGACGATATTATGCTCTCTATATCTTTTGTTAGTCTAGTAATTGAGACAAGAGAGCTTGACATATCATTTCGACATCTGTCAATTATCGGAGATGATATGGTGCTGTCGATATATCTTTTGTTATCCGCTGATCGAGACAAGAGAGCTTAACATGATTATTTCGACATCTTTCTACTATCGGAGACGATAAGGTGATCTCTATATATCTTTTGTTAGTCCACTGATCGAGACAAGAGAGCTTGACATATTGTAATGACATCTGTCAATTATCGGAGACGATATGGTGCTCTCTATATCTTTTTTAGTCCACTGTTCGAGACAAGAGAGCTTGAAATGATTTTTTCGACATCTGTCAACTATCGGAGACGATATTGTGCTCTCTCTGTATCTTTTGTTAGTCCATTAATAGAGACAAGAGAGCTTGACATATCATTTCGACATCTGTCAATTATCGGACACGATATGGTGTTCTCTATATATCTTTAGTTAGTCCACTGATCTATCTATATATCTTTTCGAGACAAGAGAGCTTGACATGATTATGTCGACATCTGTCAATCATCGGAGACGATATGGTGCTCTCTATATCTTCTGATATTTATTTCGTTAGTCTCATTGATGTTATCCTGCATTTCCTTCTATCCACATTAGAAATTGACACGGGGAGTCATGGAGGTGTAAATATCTAACTTACTACTAATGTTATTAAGTTACAATCCAGTAAAATGGTCAGCGTTAACATACACAGCAAACATTTAAAAATTTCAATTATAAGACATGACAAACAAAAAGACATACATCAATTATTCACGTACACTAACAAATTTCTGTTACAAATCTGTTAAGACCAACAGTCTCAGTGCAATTCATTAACTATCTAAATTAATCAAACCCATACAAATTACAAAAATATAATATAATGACATTGGCACTGATATTTCTTGATTTTTAAGTATGTGGATCAGTTTAAATGTTTAAACGGCTATGATTGGCAACTGACCAAGAAGTATGTACGCTCCAGACGATGGGACGCTCTAGTAGGAAGGGTTTGGGCTTTCGAAACGCGACGGCTATACTTCCACGTCGTCCATGGGATGTGTCGGCCATACCGCAACATCGTCCATATATTAATGTAAATACGTATCGTCCATACCTTAATGTAAAGACGTATCGTCCATACCTTAATATAAAGACGTATCGTCATTACCTTTATGTAAAGACGTATCGTCCATACCTTAATGTAAAGACGTATCGTCCAAACCTTAATGTAAAGACGTATCGTCCAAACCTTAGTGTGAAGACGTATCGTCCATACTTTAAGTATTTATTCCGTTGGGGTTATAACATAAAATATAATAATACAACAATTATTATTTCATAGTTAGAACAAAATATGATTTTGTAGTATTTATTATGTACAAGTTTGCCAGTTCACATCTTTTGTGCATTTATGGATAAGTGTATCATCGGCCATCATACCAAATCTCCTTCAAATTTTTAACTATATATAATGATAATAGTTTTGTTTTGTATTTTATTTATTCATTCAGTCATACAGATAAACATATATACAACAAACAACATACAACATACAACATATATATACCATACAACAAACACCATACACCATACATACAACATACAAAAACATAAATATATTTTATTTATTCGTTCAGGCATGCAAATAATCAAGTACACTAGAAAAATACGAACATGCATCATAGAACCATCATGGGCGGTTCCAGAACCTTGGTGCCTTGGGGGCACCATGAAACCAAAATTAAATATTTGTTTAGAGATGTATATATGCGATTGTTGGTTGTGATGGTGGGAGTTGTCAGATCATTGTTTCTATAGTTCTATATCTTTTAATTTTTTACCATTTCACTCTATTCTTTATTCTTCTGTCTATTGATCTCAGTATTATATTCGTCCTAAACAGGCATGAAATATTTGCCACTGGACGATAATTAAGCAACCAACAATCAATCAATCTATTCTTTATATTTCATCACCTCTTTATTCTGTATTTATATTTTTTGGTCCCGCTACTAATCTAACTTTTTTGCCCACTATTCTCTTATCTGTAAACCCCATTCATATCCTCATAAATGGTGACCCATTCATAGCTACATACATTGGTAATTGAAACAGGAAAAGGTGGTTTTTTTTAAATTGTTGGTTTCCTTTGAAAAAAGTTCATTCAGTTTAAAAAAAAATCTTGTATGATATTGAAAAATGAATAGGTTGTTGTTGAATACAGTCACAAAAAAGACAATTTCGAAAAAAAAAATCGCAACAAATGGTATAATGTGAGTATTTTGTTATGACTCAGAGACATACCCCATTGCCCCATGTAATTACAAAATATAGCCGGAAGACCATGAATGTCTTTAGAATTTTAAGGTCAAATAGTAAACGTGGAACCACATATATATGATAACTTTTTACAACCACTATGTCGATGACATCGCTATTCACACGACCCGAGTACTCGAACATGAAATGTCATTGATGCGGTATATTTCTGTAAAATTAATTTTCATAAAATGATATCGAAAAACTTAGGCTAACTTTTTCTACCCGGAAGTATACGAATACGAAAGTTTTATTTTGATTCGGTTCAAACATTCTAATCTTGAGAGCCTTTTACCGATCAGAGCGCATGCAGATACGATATTTTATGAAAAGGTTTTTGAAATTCAACTTGGTGATTTTTTTGAAATTATTTTTCATCCCTATCTGTGTGCTTTTAGACGTGGCCATGGGTGTCAGACCACACTGTTACGACTGCTAGAAGATTGGCGTGCAGCATTAGATAAAAACCAGTATATAGCTGCTGTTTTAATGGACCTTTCAAAGGCTTTTGATTGCCTACCACATGAAATTCTGCTTGATAAATTATCAGCATATGGTGTCTCTGTTCATTCTATTTCACTACTTAAATCTTATTTGACAAACAGGAAACAACAAATTAAAATAAATAGTATTCTTAGCAGTTGGGCTGACATTCATAAGGGGGTTCCCCAGGGTTCTATCCTGGGCCCCCTACTATTCAATGTTTTTATCAATGATATATTCTTATTTATAAAAAATGGAACTTTGTATAATTATGCAGATGACAATACTTTATCTTACTGTAGTCCTGATTATGATGTTTTGATTTCTACTTTGGAATCTGAATCACTCAAACTTATTGAGTGGTTCAAAATAAATAAAATGCAGGCAAACCCCGACAAATTTCAGGTCCTAGCAGTTGGGAAAAAGACATATAACAAAAATCCATCTATACGTATCCAAAGTGCTGATCTTTCGTGTGAGTCAACTGTCAAATTACTTGGCATTGACATAGATTATCAGCTAAATTTTGATATTCATATTGGTAAAATATGCAGGAAGGCATCTCAGCAACTAAATATTTTGAAACGTTTGGGAGCTTATCTGAACAAGCTAAGTAAGCTTACTATTTTCCATACATTTATTTTGTCAAACTTCAATTTTTGCCCTTTGGCATGGCATTTTTGTACCGAGAAAAATTCAAAAAAATTAGAAAAAGTGCAAGAAAGAGCACTAAGGTTTGTGTACGAAGACCATTCAAGCTCATATCAATAGTTGCTTGAAAAGGCTAAGATGCCTTCACTGCATATTAAAAGACAAAGATCTATGGCAATTGAAACTTTTAATATAGTCAATAAATTAGCACCTGTCTGTTTACATGATTTATTAAATATAAAAGATTGTAAATATTCTTTCAGATATAGTAATATACTGGATATACCACATGTAAAAACTACACAGTTTGGTAAGAAAAGTTTTAAATTTGCAGCTGCTACTCTGTGGAACAGCCTACCTGACCATTTCAGGACTGAAAACAGTTTTTCTCAATTTAAGAGCCTTATACAGTCTTGGAATGGTTCAAAATGTTGTTGTTCTGCTTGTAGATAAGCTTTATCATATTTTAGAAGTTGCTCTAACATGTTATTATGGCTTAAATTTTTGCATGTGTGTTATATTTTATTTGTGCTTAATTTTAGTTGTGCTTAATTTTTAGTTGTGCTTCAGCTTTGGCTTTAGATATGTATTTTAAAAGTGCTTTGCATGTATTTCGATATGACTGTGCTGTTATATATCCTGTCTGCATGTTGTGTGTTTTAATGTTGTGTTTGTGTTACCTTATATTCGGTAAAAAGCTCTTAAGAGCTTATGTTTGTATTGTTATATGTGAACCGAATCAAAATAAAACTTTCGTATTCGTATTCGTATATTTATAAAGCAGCGTATATACTGGTCCTCCTACTTCTATCTTGATTTGAAGGCAAATGATGAATCGATTATCTTATGGTTTATTTAAGACCAGAGACACATAATTCATTGCATTATTTATGCCTCTGATCTAGTCCAAATAATTATGACGTCTTGAAAGGCAATTTTATTTCTTTTTCTGTGACGCCTTCCTACGACGTCAAAGGCGTCACAGAAAAAAAATAGCCTTTCAAGACGTCATAATTATTTGGACTACCCAGTCTGATCATAAGACTCATCTGGGCTAATATCACGTGGCTAATATCATTATTTTATCTACTAGGGAGTCTTTCAATGTCGGTGGTCATTTCAGTCGGATTAAAAAACAATTAAAGGCTAATAAATTACGGATTTTTTAAAAATAAGATTGGGGAGTATAATTCCAAATAAAAAAAACGGGAATGTTATGTATTAAAATTATCAGAAAAATGGGAGACAACGCTGTTATATAATTGGAACTCCCGCCAAAATACTTTTCTCCGCCAGATGGTACCCCGAAATGTTTTCAATGTCAAAGGTCAGGGGGAAAATGGCGACGGATTTGATGTTTTGGGTTTCCTTTGCACATTTTTTAATAGATTTGGTAAGTTGTTCAAAAACAGTGTTAACTGACTCGTGAAAACAAACAAAAATAAACGTTTTTTCACTATTTATTTAGTTAAAGTGATTTATTTGAGTCTAGGTCTTGCAATGGATTTCCGTCAAATACGTGGAACAAAGAACAGCTGATCGATCGCCTGATTTTGCTATGTTTATCGTGAAGTAAAAGTTTATTATTCAGTCGCTCATAGGTTTGAATAACAGTTTGCATATGCAATGAAAAAGTGAAAGATTATTACATAAATACTTGATATTTTATAAAATTTTGGCAAACTACCAAGAAAGGTAACGTTAAATATGGAAATAAAGTTAATAATACTATTTTGAAGCACTTTTTACAGTTACAGTTATAATACATAACATTTCTAACTTATCCCTTAAGTCAAGTATAGTCCACAGACTGGGATAGAAACATCAGTTGCGTGTTGAATGGTCCCTTGAAGAAAAGAATCTGGGTTGCGTTTGCCCTAGTACATGTTCCCCCAGGGTCCACTTGCTCTTATATCTGTTTACCAGGAATCCTAGGAAAATAATTTCCCTCTCTTTGCCTGTTATGGTGACCCCTGGATATAATATGTATATTCAATTAATGTATGTTAATAACTTTAACAATAGTATGTTACCTGGTTACTGGAAGAATTTAAATTGAATTTGGGAAATTGGAATTCTAGTCACTTCGGCACCTGGTATAGTCAATTTCGGCACCCAAGTTAGTTGTTTCTGCACCCATGATTAACATTATGTTTTGCAAGTAAACTATTGAAGACTACTTTTTTTTCCCATATTTTTTTCTAAATATTTTCACTCGAGTTGTCAACGTTTATTTGTCATGCATAACAGAAGTTCCTATAGAAACTTTGTTATAAACAATGCCATTTTACTGTTCATACCTGCCAACATTTGAAAATCCCACATGACAACAATTTCAAAGGTTACAATTTTTTGTGCGCACTGTTTTGTGCTCTGAAAAAAGAGTCATATCTTTATTTTATATGGTATTTTAGCAAGTTTGCAATGCCGAATAATCAGGAGAATCAAAGATTTTGATTGGCTTATTAATGTGACATGTTATCATGAGAAACATGACTTTGATCAGTTGCAAGGTTAATTAAAAAGATAATTAATCTTTAAAATTGTAAGTTTTGCAAAAGAAAATATATATCTAAAAAAAAAATAAAAACTTTTCTTCCCATACCTGAAGAAAAAGCGAGAAAAGCCGAATTGCCAAAATGTCTTTAAATAGGTGCCGATTTGACTAGATGCCAATTTGATTAGGTGCCCATTTGACTTTTTCTATAGGTGCAGAACTGACCAGGTGCCGATTTAACTTGTATGGGGAAATTGTTGATATCTGCCCATGATATCTGACTTAACATGCTCAAGGCCATTAATGCAGCTGAAAACCACATTGAAAAAGGGAGTTTATGAAACATCAAATTTAGATTTTTCTAAAATGCAATGTGCCAATATCATGAATATCACACTATTGCATACATCATGTACATCTTGTCATTTAGGGAAAATGATTTGAAAATGCTCAACTTAAGAGTTGCACTTTACTTATTATAAGGGATTAATTTCCAGCATTCATTTTTTTGGGGGGAGTTGTGACTTAAGACCAAGGCTGATTTTTATATGTATTTAAATTTAGAATTTTAGAATTGAATCTAAAAATAAGAAAAATGGAGATGTATATATATATATATATATATGTTGACATACAATGAAATACAGTCAATTAAAAATTTGTCAAAATTGTATAAAAAAAAGTGGGAAAAAAAGGATTTTTTTCACATTTTTAATGCCATTTCTCTAAGCCTGTCCACAGATTTTGTTTAAAAATAAAATGTTCTTGTTATGAATATTTACTTTGAAATTATTATGTACATTTATGTATTAGGTCAGAGAAGTTGAATTGACCTTGCTAGTTGATATCTTTTACTGTCTTCTCTTACTTCACAAGCTCTATTAATGTCTGTTATACATATACATCATGTACATTATATAGTAATTGAAAAAAAAAACATTACAGGTAGAAGGCTATTACTGTGACAGTGAACGATGTCTAGAGAATGAGTACTGTTGTGGAGATAATATATGCTGTGTGTCATATACAGTTTGGGAACTGTGGTATTTCTGGTAAGACATTATATGATGTGTGTCATATACAGTGTGGGAACTGTGGTATATCTGGTAAGAAAATATATGCTGTGTGTCATATACAGAGTGGGAACTGTGGTATATCTGGTAAGAAAATATATGCTGTGTGTCATATACAGTGGGAACTGTGGTATATCTGGTAAGACAATATATTCTGTGTGTCATATACAGTGGGGGAACTGTGGTATATCTGGTAAGACAATATATGCTGTGTGTCATATACAGAGTGGGAACTGTGGTATATCTGGTAAGACATTATATGCTGTGTGTTATATACAGTGTGGGAGCTGTGGTGTTTCTTGTAAGACATTATATGCTGTGTGGAAGCTGTGTTATTTCTAGTAAGACAATATACATTTATGACATTTGTCATATACATGTAACTGATATAGGGTGTGGGAACTAATATTTCTGGTAAGAAAATATGTGCTGTGTGTCATATACAGTGTGGGAGCTGTGGTGTTTTATGGTAAGACATTATATGCTGTGTGGAAGCTGTGTTATTTCTAGTAAGACAATATACATTTATGACATTTGTCATATACATGTAACTGATATAGGGTGTGGGAACTAATATTTCTGGTAAGAAAATATATGCTGTGTGTCATATACAGTGTGGGAGCTGTGGTACTTCTGGCTGTGTGTCATATACCGTTTGAGAGCTGTGTTATTTTTAGTAAGACATGAATTTATGATGTGTGTCGTATAAATGTTCCGATATAGGATGTGGGAGCTATGCCTATGGTACTTCTGGTAAGACCATATACATGTATGCTGTGTGTCATACAGAGTGGGAACTGTGTTATTTCTAGGAAGACAATATATGCTGTGTGTCATATACAGAGTGGGAACTGTTTTATTTCTAGTAAGACATAATAGGCTGTGTGTCATATACAGAGTGGGAACTGTGGTATTTCTGGTAAGACAGTATATGCTGTGTGTCATATATATGTACCTTTTGTGAACTAAGATTCTTTCATTACATTTTGCTCAAATACAAATCAGCACTTCCTGAAATTTGTTATCAATTTTCATGTGAATATGCAAATATGTATGCTCTACCATGTGATACGGTTTCCGATTCATTGATCTTCAACTTCCTGTTTACCCAATACTTGTGTATATATGTATATTCTAACACATAATGACTTTGTATGAAATTTTTGTCACATTTTTCTAGGAAAGTACAAAAAAGAGCTTTCTGAAATTTGTTTTCAGGCTTCATGTGAACGTGCTACATGATGTGATGCATTTTAAGATTCATGACTCATCAACTTCCTGTTTACTGTTTTCTTACACATAATGGTCATGTATGAAATATTCGTCACATTTTTCTAAGGAACTACAGGTACAAAAAAGAGCTTAATGAAATTTGTTTTCAAATTTTATGTGAACATGCTTTACCATATGATATGCTTTCAGATTCATTGCTCATCAGCTTCCTGCTTACCGAAATCTTGAAGCAGGGGGTATCATAAGCGAGCAGTAGCTCAAGTTTTACTTGTTTAATTTCAATATAATAATAAGAAACTGTAGAAGTTAAACTGAAAGTAACACACTATAGACATGATAGACTACTTTTTCACATGGTTCTGTTATCCATGCCTATATGTATCATGTGTATATGGTAGTCAAATTTTATCATTGTAGGTGTGGAATAATTTTCTTCCTGGTACTGCTATCAATGTGTATATGTTTATGGAAGACAAGATACAGAGACAGTAGAATCTTCATCGGTACATCTCAACCTATTTACAGTCCATTGTCAAACAAACAGCCATCTCTGGCACATGTAAGTCATAACCAATCTATATACAGTCCATTGTCAAACAAACAGCCATCTCTGGCACATGTAAGTTATAACCAATCTATAACAGTCCATTGTCAAACAAACAGCCATCATTGGCACATGTAAGTCATAACCAATCTATGTACAGTCCATTGTCGAATAAACAGCCATCTCTGGCACATGTAAGTTATAACCAATCTATAACAGTCCATTGTCAAACAAACAGCCATCTCTGGCACATGTAAGTCATAACCAATCTATATACAGTCCATTGTCAAACAAACAGCCATCTCTGGCACATGTAAGTTATAACCAATCTATAACAGTCCATTGTCAAACAAACAGCCATCTCTGGCACATGTAAGTCATAACCAATCTATAACAGTCCATTGTCAAACAAACAGCCATCTCTGGCACATGTAAGTCATAACCAATCTATATACAGTCCATTGTCAAACAAACAGCCATCTCTGGCACATGTAAGTTATAACCAATCTATAACAGTCCATTGTCAAACCAAAACAGCCATCTCTGGCACATGTAAGTCATAACCAATCTATAACAGTCCATTGTCAAACAAACAGCCATCTCTGGCACATGTAAGTTATAACCAATCTATTACAGTCCATTGTCAAATAAACAACCATCTCTGGCACATGTAAGATATAACCAATCTATAACATTCCATTGTCAAATAAACAACCATCTCTGGCACATGTAAGTTATAACCAATCTATAACAGTCCATTGTCAATCAAACAGCCATCTCTGGCATGTGTAAGTCATAACCAATCTATAACAGTCCATTGTCAAACAAACAGCAATCTGTGGCATGTGTAAGTCATAACCAATCTATAAACAGTCCATTGTCAAATAAACAACCATCTCTGGCACATGTAAGTTATAACCAATCTATAACAGTCCATTGTCAATCAAACAGCCATCTCTGGCATGTGTAAGTTATAACCAATCTATAACAGTCCATTGTCAATCAAACAGCCATCTCTGGCATGTGTAAGTCATAACCAATCTATAAACAGTCCATTGTCAAACAAACAGCCATCTCTGGCATGTGTAAGTTATGTGAGACATTCTTAATATCTCTATACCTTTGTAATTTGGTTTGTGAGAATAAAGATATATATAATAAGGTTCACACTCAAACAGCCTCTTTGGGACTTGCACAAATGTACACCATTGCTTTATACACAGTATCAAATAGAAATCTTTCACTGCCACTCAAATCTTATTCTGTATACAGATCACTGTCAAAAAGCCCTGCTATTCTGGCAAATGGAAGGCCTATCTGAATTCATGTAAAATTCATTGTCAAACAAATATCCATCACTGAACACTGGCATATGTTTGTCCAATATCCATCACTGAACACTGGCACATGTTTGTCCAATATCCATCACTGAACACTGGCATATGTTTGTCTAACAAATATCCATCACTGAACACTGGCACATGTTTGTCAAACAAATATCCATCACTGAACACTGGCACATGTTTGTCCAACAAATATCCATCACTGAACACTGGAACATGTTTGTCAAACAAATATCCATCACTGAACACTGGCACATGTTTGTCTAACAAATATCCATCACTGAACACTGGCACATGTTTGTCCAACAAATATCCATCACTGAACACTGGTACATGTTTGTCAAACAAATATCCATCACTGAACACTGGCACATGTTTGTCCAACAAATATCCATCACTGAACACTGGAACATGTTTGTCAAACAAATATCCATCACTGAACACTGGCACATGTTTGTCCAATATCCATCACTGAACACTGGCACATGTTTGTCCAATATCCATCACTGAACACTGGCACATGTTTGTCTAACAAATATCCATCACTGAACACTGGCACATGTTTGTCAAACAAATATCCATCACTGAACACTGGCATATGTTTGTCAAACAAATATCCATCACTGAACACTGGAACATGTTTGTCCAACAAATATCCATCACTGAACACTGGTACATGTTTGTCCAACAAATATCCATCACTGAACACTGGCATATGTTTGTCCAATATCCATCACTGAACACTGGCACATGTTTGTCCAATATCCATCACTGAACACTGGAACATGTTTGTCCAACAAATATCCATCACTGAACACTGGTACATGTTTGTCCAACAAATATCCATGACTGAACACTGGTACATGTTTGTCCAACAAATATCCATCACTGAACACTGGCATATGTTTGTCCAATATCCATCACTGAACACTGGCACATGTTTGTCCAATATCCATCACTGAACACTGGAACATGTTTGTCCAACAAATATCCATCACTGAACACTGGTACATGTTTGTCCAACAAATATCCATCACTGAACACTGGCACATGTTTGTCTAACAAATATCCATCACTGAACACTGACACATGTTTGTCAAACAAATATCCATCACTGAACACTGGCACATGATTGTCCAACAAATATCCAACACTGAACACTGGAACATGTTTGTCCAACAAATATCCATCACTGAACACTGGAACATGTTTGTCCAACAAATATCCATCACTGAACACTGGTACATGTTTGTCAAACAAATATCCATCACTGAACACTGGAACATGTTTGTCCAACAAATATCCATCACTGAACACTGGAACATGTTTGTCCAACAAATATCCATCACTGAACACTGGAACATGTTTGTCCAACAAATATCCATCACTGAACACTGGCATATGTTTGTCAAACTTCTATACACAGTCTGTACTACATTTAGAGGCTTTCTTTAGCACAATGACAGGTTAGTCATAGTCCTTCAGTCATCCAGGGTTCTCACTAAACATTTTAAAGGCTAGTCCAGGGAATCTTCTCTTTTGGCCATGGTGTGTCTAACAATGAAAAGATGAAATTTTATTTCTATATGATTTTATCATTTCAGTCTCCATGACAAAAAAGAGCAAGAAAATGACTTCAAATTTAGATTATTTTTAAACTTTTGATAATAATGATGATTTAAGTGATCAGTTGATACAATACTTTCATGACTTTACAATCTTGGTGCAATCAATTATATCACTAATGATAGACCATTGATATATTGAATGGTAGCTATATATAGTGTACTACTATGACAATCTAGATAAACTTGTGCATTGAATTTTGAACTTGATCACTTATCAGATACTAGTATATGTAAAATAATAAATGCTTTTATTAATAATAATTATATTGTGTTATAAAGGGTGAAAGATATAGAGATGATTATACAGAAGGGGAGTATTACAGAACACCACCTCCATCTGGTGTCTATGGTTACAAAACAACAGTCCCTCCTACTTATGATGATGTCGTCAACAATTACAAAGAAGATCACAAGAAATAGCCTACCAATGTTGAAAGAGGGCAAAAGTGCAATTGAAAACTTTGACGATATCTGATGCTTAGATATCTATCTGAATGACTTATATATATCTCAGGTCAAAGGTCACAGACATGCAAATGTTTTATTTTTTGTCTCAAATATCTATACAAAACTGGTACACATCCATGTTAAATTATGTGTTATATGAATTGAAATTTGAGGTAATGAATATTTTGTTTTTATTACATTTGTTGTACAAATCCTATTAAATGGAGTCTCTCTTTGTGATAATGCTGCCCGATAGAAGTTTCCCATCATTGTCTGAATTCTAACAATCAGAAGAAGCAATGCACAACACTATTTAGTTAAGAGAAACATTTCTGGAGAATTAATTTTTATGCCCCACCTATGATAGTAGTAGGGGCATTATGTTTTCTGGTCTGTGGGTATGTCCGTCCGTCTGTCCCGCTTCATGTTAAAGTTTTTGGTCAAGGTAGTTTTTGATGAAGTTGAAGTCCAATCAACTTGAAACTTAGTACACATGTTCCCTATGATATGATCTTTATAATTTTATTGCCAAATTAGAGTTTTGACCCCAATTTCACGGTCCACTGAACATAGAAAATGATAGTGAGTGGGGCATCTGTGTACTATGGACACATTCTTGTTTAATGACTAGTATTTCATTATATTCTAAGAAGTATTAGCATCATAATATTTTTAATTCATATTATAAATTTTCATTATGTTATGAAATTTGTTTCTATTAGAAATTTCTATGACATCATAGTCTGTTATAGTCCTATCTTTCAATGCCTAGCATTTAATACACAATCTAACAAAGTGGTGTTGTTGGATTGCTGTCACATTCACACCATTTCTCTTTGTATTCATATTTATTTATGTAAAATTATTTGTAATTGATGTGGAATAATACTAAAAATAAAATTATTTTGATGGAAGAAACAGTGCATATAAAGAATAGTCATTGTGTTAAAACAAATATACACATTAGAAATATATGTAGATTTGTCTAACAAGAGATTAAACTCCATTTATACCTGGTGAAGCTGAAAGATCTTTAATGCATTTTCTTTGTTAGCTTCCATTTGCAAAATGTGTTTCCTTGTCAGCAGATGTTGTTTAAGGACAAATAATAAATAATCTGATGTTTCTTCCCAAAATAAGTTTATAACAAGTTAAAATTTGTAATTCATGTATTTATGACAGTTTAATATTTAGAGTTGTTAGGAGAGCTACAATGTATGGCAATATAAAGTCTTGGAAATCAGCCTTTCTAGAAGTCAATTACAAATATTTATTAAAGTGGAAGTCAGTTTAATGCTTATTCAAAAGTTTTCTCATATCCAAAAAAAATTACACAGGACAACGTTGAAATTTTGATGGCAAGTTGATTGCTAGAAAGATAAATTATATCTGCACTAAAATTAAGATTTACTTTATCCAATATAAAATAAATCATGTCCTGAATTTGTATGAAATATTTGTCACTGGACATTTAGCCCCAATAAAAACCATTTCATTTGTCATTATTTTGATAATGGATCATTGGCTTATTGTTTTTCCATTCAAACCAATGATATAGTTGTTATTATTTTTGTGTCATAAATGTTTTATCATGTATCATTATTTCAACATTACTATAGATGTTTGTTTGAATTGTTTATCCATACAAATTTCATATGAATATGTAAGATTTATACTTTGAAAAATTTTAAAATGTAGGTTTTTGTAGATTTACATTGTATTGTGAGTCTGTAAGGAGACGATAGAATGAATGCCTTCCTTAAACCTAAAATAATATTTGCCATCAACATTTGTTCGAGAAAAAAACAGTAATGCCATCTCAAGTAAACAAAATTATCTATTAAATAAAAATCTTAGATCCACTCTTCAAAACAGTTACTTCATTTATTTAAAATCCTTGTTATTGTAAGAAAAATTGCATGACATGTTTTTTTGTCTATAGAATTGAACTCACTATTGGTCATTCACAATAATGTGTATGTCTCAATAGTCCTTTAGTGAGGGCTAGTATTTTTTTTAAACATGTGTAAATTGGGAAATTGATATGAATGTTTATAAATGTAAGTCTCCCAAAAATTGAAAACAATAATTTAACAGTTATCAATATATGCATAAACTGAATGAAAATGCATGTTTAATATCATCATTATAATAGTTCAATTTTTATAGCATTAATAAATCACTGTATTTGTCTTTAAATTTACATGTAAAACATTAATTTTTTGGGGGAATTTATTTCTTGTAATTAAGGAAAAAAGGCTAAATGAAAGTGCTCTTTATGTAAGAATTTAAAGAATCCTTATTCAATAGTCCCTCTCATGTAGGAATGTCCAATCAGCAGGTAAAGAGGATTGTACTGTATTTATTGTTGATAATTTTGTAGTTAAAGAGGACCCTGATGAGATGATAGAAACCATTTAATTTAGAGAAATCTCATATGAATTGATAGTTTTATTGACTACTGAAATGTTGTTGTCCACTTTTATTGACTACTAAAATGTTGTTGTCCACTTTTATTTAACTACTGAATGTCACGGTCCACATATCGTATAGATCTGTCCTGTACATAATAATTTCTATATAACTTACTTTCCGCGATGTTTTTTTCTATTACTTATTTAATAATATTTCCAGGTATGAAGGATAGTATATGAATCCTGTCTAAGTAAGTAACCTAAACAAGTAAAAAGCTGGCACTGCCAACTGAAGCTCCCCAAAGTGCGCACTAAATTTATTTTATTTTCAAGAGTTCAAAATGCTATGCTTGAAGGGACAAATAGATAGGTCCTGTTGTTGCTATCAGAATGACCTGTGTAAATGTGTAACAATTCATAGTGGGATACCATCAGGATACCAAAACAAAAAATCTTTTCAAGTAATAGTGAAATATTGACATTTGTCTTATTGATCACAAAATCAATAGGTGTCTTCCCCTTCCCTGAATCTTTCATTTGTATAAATGTCATTTCCAATCAAGCATGGGAAACTTGTTACCATATTGAAACCTTTTTTTCAATTTTTTTCTATATTATTAACAGTGACCTTGACTTGACCTGTTGACTCCAAAATCAATAGCTGTATATGTATTTATTTAAATGAAGCAAAGGTAACTAAAGTTAAAAACCACTTCTCCGCCACCCACCCAAATAAAAATTGTATTTTAGTAACTGACCTTGAGCTTTGAAAAATTGGCCCCAAGTCCAAGAGGCTTCATCCCCTTCCCTATATCTTCCATCTTTATAAGTTTCATCCCAATCAAGCAAGGGATACTCAAGTTGTCATCTGGAAACCGTTGTTTCAGATACACGGAAGGAGGAACTACTGGACAAAGCAAATTACTATATACTCCTAAAATTTTTATGGGGAGTATAATAAAAGTAATACAAAAGTCTATCTTATTGCTGTCATACAGGTGAACTATCCTCTGTCATTAACTTACCTGGTTCAAAACGGCAATTATAATATTTTCATTATTTGGCAAATATGTCATCTATCCATAAGTAAACTCATCATGTAACATACTATACAGTGTTTCTAATTCAAGTACACATTAACAGTGTTAACAAGGTTAGATATAATGATAGGTAACAGTGTTAACAATGTTAGATATAATGATAGGTAACAGTGTTAACAATGTTAGATATATATATGATAGGGATATATTTTGTGGACTAATTATGTTTATCATGAGGAGACTGTGATCATGTTATTATTTTTGTCATATCTATTTTATTACAGATTGTTATTTCTTATTCATGTGTATATTTTCATGCAGTAAAAATTAGATTCTCACTTGACTTTTGTTAATTTTATTCACTCGGTATAGCACCTGAAAATGCAGGTACAAACGGGGCTGTGCCACTTTTTGGGCCACCACAATAGAATTATGCAAAATGAAGCATTTATGATACTAAGTTACTATGATTCAGAAACTAGGCGGGATAGATTTTGCAAAAATTATAAAGTCCCATTTTAATTTTGATAGCATAATTTGTATGCAATATTTCCAGAAATCTCATAGTTATCTCAATTTTTCAACAATCGCAATAATAAATGAATGCAAAAATTTCTGAACTTACTGTACATGAAAAACTGCACCACTTTTTACCTTCCGTAAAAGGCAAAAGCAGGTCTTGTAACTGCTCGACTCTGTCCATCTGTCAAAGTTTTCTTGGCTTCTGTAAACGGAAATGATTTAATATTTGGTTGCAGCATGATAATGTTGAGTTGTAGTGAGTAAGCAATTTTTACATCTGTCATGTAACCACTTTCTGTTTGCCAATACTTGAAATTTTGCAACACTCATTGTACAAGGAAAATTTTCGTCAAATTTTTCACAGCTCCTATTAAAGTGAATGCTTTTATATTTGGTCTGCAGCTTGATAGTGTTAAGTTGTAGTGATTAAGCAATTTTGACAGCAGCTAAGTCACTTCCTGTTTGCTGATAGTTAAAAATTTAACAACACTCATTAAACAAAGAAAATTTTGTCCAAGTTTTTCATGCTTCTATGAAGGGGATTAGGTACCGATTATCAGGTTGTCTGCATATTGATATCGTAAAATATCAGCTGCGAGTCACAATATGAAGCTTCTTGTTGAGTGAGCTCAGTGAACGAGATCAAAAAGGCTTCATATTGTGTCGAGTAGCTGATATTTTACAATATCCATATACAGACAACCAGATGATCATTTTATCGGGTTGTATTTGTGCATTTTGCATGATAGAAACAAGTGTTTTCTTTGTTTCACCAGCAAACAAGAAGATCGGGTCAAACTTATCAACGTCGGTTCATATATTATGACATCGGTGATATGTCCGGGTCAACGTATCTGACGTCACAAAGCCGTGATGTGCAATTTTATAAAGAACTGAGCAGAGTGATACAGACTTAAGGACGACCAATAATTTAATATATGGTTTGCACCTTGATAATGTGGAGTTGTTGTGAGTAAGAAATTTTAACATCTGCCATATAGGAACTCCCTGTTTGCACATAGTTTGAAATTTTACAACAATCATTGTACAAGGAAACTTTTGGCAAAGTTTTCTTGGCTTCAGTGAAAGGGAATGATCAGTTATGCTCCAGTATACATGTAACTTCTAGCACACAGGTCCAGATCCGGTATTGGTCTTGTTTTTCACAGATACTATGTACTTGTGTTGTTGGAAAAAAAGGATATGCAGTAAGTGACCTTCATACCACTTCACCTTATTTTATATTGATACAAAATGTTCATGTATTGCTTTGAAATAACCAGTCTAAATCATTGGGATAGCACTCTTAGTGCTGTCTTCTTTAATATTGCTGGTAGCTGTTCAATGATGAAATTAAACTGAACAATATTGAGGTAGTCCCAACTTTGATATCCACGGATTACCTTTTCATGCATATTAGCAGGAACTCTTGCACTGATAAAATGAAACTAATGAAGTCTTTAAACCAATTTCATTAATGTTATGCTATTTCAAGTGTGTGTCTATTAAAATCTTAAAGATATTATGCAAAAACCATAGTTTTCATGGTAATTAGCAAAAACACAAAACAACAGGAAAAATCGTCATTAAAGGGCAATAACTCAAATAAGAAGCCAACTAAAGATTTCAGCCATGTTGACTTACTCATAGATCTCATCTTGCTGATTAATTTTGCAATTTAAAGTGTCTCTCGATCTAAAATTTGTCATTTAAGGCAATAACTCCAATGAATGAGTCGTCGGGCAATTTTGATTTAAATGAGCAGCAAGTAGATCTAAACTTTTTGTTCTTTATAGCAGTTTCGAGGTAAAAGACAAAAACATGTATTTTACCCCTATAATCTATTTTCAGCCATGCATTTTTTTTGTTTGCCATGTGGGTTGACCAGCAGGGTCATTAGACACATTTTTATGCCGCTAGGCGGAGGGGCCATTAAGGTTTACCCTTGTCCATGTGTATGAACTTCCCGAAATGTGTTTTCATTCTCAAACTTTACTTTGCCTAAACAAATGTTATAAACATATACACAATGCTAATTACCATCAAACACAGATCTACTTCGAATTTGGTTGGCACTTTCAACTTTCTTGGGAAATGTCCCTTTACAAATGATAAAAATTGGCAAACTTGCTGTTTTGGCACTCTTACTTTATTTTGCATCAACCAAATGTCATGAAACTTATACACAATGCTTATTACCACCAAAAACAGATCAAGTTCAATTTTGGATTGCATCACATTCACCGTTCTTGTGTTACTGTGGATTGTTCCAGTATCTATAATAGTTGTCTTGGTCATTGGAAGAAATGCTATAACAGGATACAAATTGTCATTTATGGGAAGGACTCAACTGAATGAATAATACCACCATTGATTTTTCCCTATTAGTCTTTGTTAAATTGGCACTTTCCAAAAAATTGTGCAGAATTTATCTTTGTTTCAAATAAAGAAATACTTGGCATGAGTCAAGTTTTATCCTGTCCAGTACTACAGTAAAATTTCACATACATTTCATTGCATATAAGATAATAACCATCACTGGAAGTAATCCATTCAAATTTTCATCCCTTTTTTTCCTGTTGACAAGCATTAGTAACCATGTCACTTGAAGTTTCCAACATGCAATGAAATGCAGGGTTAATTTCCTACAACTGTCTAAATCAAAGGAATTTTTTTTTCAACCCTTTTTCGTATGAAACTGGATGTGACGTACTATGATTTGGTGGTATTACACCTGAAAGGTTCAGTCAAATTTGAAGTATTATAGATCTTCTTTTGTAGATCATTGTTGCTATTTTCAGTTTCTGTCTAGCATATTTTTCAAGGTAATAGGTTTAAATGACTTAACATTTGTTTACCCAGTCATTGGTGGGTTATATCTAGGGGAAATCAGTATTGAAGACAAATTAGGGATAGTCTCTTTAATTTATTCAAATTTGTTTAGACTCTTGTCAACTGTGAGCTTGACCTATTGATTAGACACTTGTTTATATTGATATTGATGGATGGCTCTTTAACGCCCAGTGGCTATAACACTAAAAGCCTATTCAAGACAAGAACATGCTAATGCATTATGAATATGAACCCTGCTTTGTACTAGACAAACACGCTGAGTCATATTTTTAAAGTGTTAGTTCACAAGGTAACAGTCAGCAGGATTATGTGTCACTCTATCAAGAAACATTACTCTGATTCTGAGCCATCCAAACTTTGCTCATTATGCTTATTATGTACTTAGCAGAGAAGCAGCAAATACCAATTTTAAAGTCTTTGGTTTGATGTTCATCTCTAACTGTATTTTGTTTTTATTCATTAGGTTGCTGTTTCATTGATGTATATTTAATATCCCCTTTTGTTCATATATTATATATATAATCTTCCTAATCAATAGTATTACAAACATTGTTCAAATTCTCAGCCTGATGTTTATTGGATAAAGTGACCTCTATAACATACAAATGTCAATAAGTGATGAATAAATGAAAATAATAAAATAATGAATATGATTAATAACTAAATGCTAGTATTATGTCAACAAATAAACACTACATGTATATAACTTAATATAATTTCAGATCATCCAATTTATTTTACTTTTTTAATTGTGTGTTTATTTATTTACATAAAAGTTTGAACAATAATAATAGTAGATATTTATTTAATTAATTAGTTACATATTAACTATTTTCATGAATCCATTGATATGTTGTTTATTTCCATGTATTATTATGTTTGTATACCACATCACTGTATTTAATAAACATCTGTTGCATAGGGAAATCAGGAAGTATCACCATGTATATAATATAATCTGTTGAACAGGGAAATCAGGAAGTCTCACCATTATTTAATAAACATCTGTTGCATAGGGAAATCAGGAAGTATCACCATCTATATAATATAATCTGTTGAACAGGGAAATCAGGAAGTCTCACCATTTATATAATATAATCTGTTGAACAGGGAAATCAGGAAGTCTCACCATTTATTTAATAAACATCTGTTGCATAGGGAAATCAGGAAGTACCACCATTTATATAATATAACCTGTTGAACAGGGAAATCAGGAAGTCTCACCATTTATATAATAAACATCTGTTGCTTAGGGAAATCAGGGAGTCTCACCATTTATATAATAAACATCTGTTGCTTAGGGAAATCAGGGAGTCTCACCAATTATATAATAAACATCTGTTGCTTAGGGAAATCAGGAAGTATCACCATTTATATAATAAACATCTGTTGCATAGGGAAATCAGGCAGTATCAAAATCTATATAATATAATCTGTTGAACAGGGAAATCAGGAAGTCTCACCATTTATATAATAAACATCTGCTGAATAGGGAAATCAGGAAGTATCACCATTTATATAATATACATCTGTTAAACAGGGAAATCAGGAAGTCTCACCATTTATATAATAAACATCTGCTGAATAGGGAAATCAGGAAGTCTCACCATTTATATAATAAACATCTGTTGAATAGGGAAATCAGGAAGTCTCACCATTTATATAATAAACATCTGCTGAATAGGGAAATCAGGAAGTCTCACCATTTATATAATAAACATCTGTTGAATAGGGAAATCAGGAAGTCTCACCATTTATATAATAAACATCTGCTGAATAGGGAAATCAGGAAGTCTCACCATTTATATAATAAACATCTGCTGAATAGGGAAATCAGGAAGTATAACCATTTATATAATAAACATCTGCTGAATAGGGAAATCAGGAAGTATCACCATTTATATAATAAACATCTGTTGAATAGGGAAATCAGGAAGTCTCACCATTTATATAATAAACATCTGCTGAATAGGGAAATCAGGAAGTCTCACCATTTATATAATAAACATCTGTTGCATAGGGAAATCAGGAAGTATCACCATTTATATAATAAACATCTGTTGAACAGGGAAATCAGGAAGTCTCACCATTTATATAATAAACATCTGTTGCATAGGGAAATCAGGAAGTCTCACCATTTATATAATAAACATCTGTTGCATAGGGAAATCAGGAAGTATCACCATCTATATAATATAATCTGATGAACAGGGAAATCAGGAAGTCTCACCATTTATATAATAAACATCTGTTGCTTAGGGAAATCAGGAAGTATCACCATCTATATAATATAATCTGTTGAACAGGGAAATCAGGAAGTCTCACCATTTATATAATTAACATCTATTGCTTAGGGAAATCAGGAAGTCTCACCATTTATATAATAAACATCTGTTGAATAGGGAAATCAGGAAGTCTCACCATTTATATAATAAACATCTGTTGCTTAGGGAAATCAGGAAGTCTCACCATTTATATAATAAACATCTGTTGAATAGGGAAATCAGGAAGTCTCACCATTTATATAATAAACATCTGTTGAATAGGGGAAGTCTAACCATTTATATAATAAACATCTGTTGAATAGGGAAATCAGGAAGTCTCATCATTTATATAACAAGCATTCTGAGAGTATTGCATGGCAATACATAGTCCCCTACCCGTTAAGAATTCATTGTACTGGAACAAAATGCTAACTTGATCTATCACTTGTCATGGTGTAAACCATATAACAAATATCAAGTCAATATCTTCAAGCATGCCGAAAAAAGTGTGGAAAACTGATTATTTGAGAGAATTTTTTAAGTCCAGGGACCCTAACTCTGCACAAAATTATCAGACTGCAACAAAATTCGAACTTGATCTTTAACTTGTCATGATAAAATTATATACTTTTTATCAAATCAATATCTTCAAGCATAACAAAAATAAATGCCCCCTTTGCATATCATATAAAGTTATAAATGGACATAACTGAAGATCAGTAGAAGTCACACTACCCAAATTTGTACTTGATCTGAGTTTTGTGGTAATAAGCATTTTGTATAAGTTTCATAACATTTGGTTAAGGAAAACTAAAGTTAGAGAACGGAAACCAAAAATTCTGCAATTTTTCCATTTGTAAAGGGGCATAACTCTAGAACGGATAAGGTGACACCACCAAAATTCGAACTTGATCTGTATTTTGTGGTAATAAGCATTGTGTATAAGTTTCATAACATTTGGTAAAGGCAAACTAAAGGCAGAGAACAGACACTAAAAATTCAGCAATTTTTCCATTTGTAAAGGGGCATAACTCTAAAACAGTGAAGGTGACACCACCAAAATTTGAATTGATCTGTATTTTGTGGTAATATGAATTGTGTATAAGTTTCATAAAATTTGGTAAAGGCAAACTTAAGTTAGAGAATGGAAACCAAAAATTCAGCAATTTTTCCATTTGTAAAGGGGCATAACTCTAAAACAGTTAAGGTGACACCACCAAAATTCGAACTTGATCTGTATTTTGTGGTAATAAGCATTGTGTATAAGTTTCATAACATTTGGTAAAAACAAACTTAAGTTAGAGAACGGAAACAAAAAAAATCAGTAATTTTTCCATTTCTAAAGGGGCATAACTCTAAAATGGTTAGAGTGACGACACCAAAATTCAAACTTGATCTGTGTTTTGAGGTAATAAGCATTATGCATAAGTTTCATAACATTTGGTTGAGGCAAACTTAAGTTAGAGAACGGAAACCAACTTTGGGACATACGGACGGACGGACGTACAGACGGACAAGGGTAAAACTTAATGCCCCCTCCACAACGGCGGGGGCATAAAAAGTGTCGAAAACTGACTGAGTGAATTTTCTATGTCCAAGTACCATAACTCTGCATAAAATCATCAGACCATAACATAATTCGAACTTGATCTGTAACTTGTCATGAAATAACTATATACCAAATTTCAAATCAATATCTACAAGCATAAAGAAAAAAAGTGTCGAAAACTGATTTGCCGGACAGACAGACAGACAGACGGACGGAGTGCAAACCTGAAGTCCCCTTTGACTTCGTCGGTAGGGGACTAATAAATATCTGTTGAATAGGGAACTCAGGAAGTCTCACCATTTATATAATAAACATCTGTTGAATCGGGAACTCAGGAAGTCTCACCATTTATATAATAAACATCTGTTGAATAGGGAACTCAGGAAGTCTCACCATTTATATAATAAACATCTGTTGAATAGGGAACTCAGGAAGTCTCACCATTTATATAATAAACATCTGTTGAATAGGGAACTCAGGAAGTCTCACCATTTATATAATAAACATCTGTTGAATAGGGAACTCAGGAAGTCTCACCATTTAAATAAGTTGTTGATTCAAAATTAATTGTGTGCATTTATCATTGCAATTGATTATCAACACAAACACAAGTTTAATAATTGCTATTTCATACAATGCTGCATAGAAATAACGTTATTAAAATTTAAATGCGTTTTTATTATTGCAACACCTATATCATCGCAATTTTCCCTATAACAAAAACATCACAAAAATTCCTGAATGTATTAAATATAGGCATGAGTGAATACAACCATTCATAAAATATTTTATTTTGCATTTTACATTTGAATTTGTGTAACAGCATTAATAACTGGTATGAAATAGTTTATGTTATTGAACAGTACCATTTATGATGTAGTAAATACGTCTGGTAATTATCTTTCTTAATCAAACCAAAAAACTAGTTCAGTTCATCAGAAATCATGTAATACCAATAGTGCTTAGAAACTTGTATGTTATAATTTCAGCCCTCAAGCCTCTTATCCTCTCTGGTAGTGGCTGATTAAATGAATTGTCCTTATTAACGTTTTTTATGATGATTATAATGTATACAGTTTACAAACAAAACAGTATAAAAATCAAAAGACTAGATAGGAAAAATTGTGCTTTATGCACTGTTTTCTTCATTTGCTCACAAAACAACAAAATATAACAAACTAGGGAACAGTTGAAACAAAATATAACAAACAGACTGAAAATCAGATTTAAAAAAAATCTCAAAAACAAATCCCCTATCCGAACTAAGCCTATATATTTTTTTCTTAATTTGTAATTCTTGATGATTTCCGCAACCAGTAAAAATTATATCATCCACCTTTAATAAGGGCCCAATGAAATGTTTAAATGTTATATTTAAATCTGTTGTATAAAAGTGCTTGCTTATGATTTCTGAATACAGATTACAGAGTCCAGGATGAGTAAACAACTTTAACACAAAAGAGTTTTGATGTACTTTATGAAATTTAAATTGTACATATCTAATGTAAAGGAAAATATATTATTTGAGAACAAAAATGAAATTGCGTCAACTGTTTTCATCATGCTTCATGGCATTAAAATATCAATGTAAAAATCCTCAAAAAAATATCATGAGTATGCATAACGTATGAGATTCAATCAGAAATAAACAATAATATTAAGTACTGGTCATGTGACCTTTACACCCACACCTTAAAGCTTTAATACTGGTCATGTGACCTTTACACCCACACCTTAAAGCTTTAAGTACTGGTCATGTGACCTTTACACCCACACCTTAAAGCTTTAATAATGCTATAAACAAAAACAGAATTTTGCTCTGTAATCAATTTATATACATTTATGCTTATTGATTGAATTCTGTAAAAGCATAAGATTAATAAAGTGGTCTTCAGACTTTAAAAATAACAACTATTCTGACAAAAATGCACAACCAATCTTCACATTTGTTGCAGCTTATACTTGTCAGAAAATATAACTCTGAATGACAAGGTGACTATTTTTAGATGAACCATATATACACCTCATTGCAATGAGATCTGTTTTCTTGGAATTAAAAAATTAATTAAAATTTCATAGCAAACTATATTAAAAAATTATTACAATGTTATCAAACTTTACAATGTAACCAAATTATTACAATTTAACCAAACTTAAATTCTACACACATTGTTTTTCTCAATGCATCATTTATAAAACAATTCTTTAATTAAATGCAAACAATTTTGTACAAGGTCTCTAAAGTTAAGGCACTATAAATTTTAATGGCATTCTTTTTCATACTAAAAAGTAATAAACCATAAAAAAAGCTTTTTCTGACAGCTTACAACACTTAGTAATCATAAAGAATTGTGGGTAATTAGCCTGATGACTATAATGCTACAGCATTGGTTGATTATCCATTGATTGGTAGACATCATCAGCCAATCACAGACTTAGATGTCTCTTGATTCATCTTTCATTATGAGGGGATGCTGATAAAAATCATAATAAAATTATAAAAATTATATATGAAACAAAACCATATCAACAATTAACATTTTATTATCTAAAAATTACAAACATCTTAATTTCTGAAACATGGATTCTGACACAAACAAAAGTTTGATTTAATATTTTTTTGTTAACAATAAGGATACTGCAAAAATGGTGAAAAAATCATATCAAAACAAAACAAACAAATTTCAATATCAAGATTGAACATTACCCCCTACATCATTAATAACAACTAAAATAACATTAAATGAAATAATATGCGTGTGTGATTAATTGCCCTATTCTTATCTCAACAATATAACTGTCTCAAAAGTAAATAATAACTTGAATTCTCCTTTCATTTTGACTTTAGAGAAATCTCAGACCAATCCCTGGTTCTTATAAATAACTAAAATAAAACTACATATTGTTCTCATAGAGTTACAAGGACTGCAGCATTTACAATTGTCTTCAGAACTTCCAGACATTTTTCTGTTGGAGGTGTGGCAAAAGTGGCCACACCCCATTTCTGTCCATCATTCTCAACAGAAACTGTCAAACTTGATACACACATTCCAGCACTAGCTAAAGCACCTAAAAAGAAATATTTTATATACGTCATTCAGGTTCGGTACAGTGTATGTCAAATTATGTGTCCTTTCTATATCCAATAATATACACTGTCTATTTCAAGCTATATATACCATGTCTAGTTCATATTATATACAATGTGTTGAACTATATAATCCTGTTTATGTCACCCACATCTATTGTTTTCTCACCAAAATTCAGTTAACATAATTACATTGGGCACGTCACAAGATAGGTTTTATCATGACAGTCAATAATATTACTGTATGATATTTACTATGAAATACAGCAGCTAATATATAGAATATTAGTGCATGACTTCTGAATGACAAGAATAAGTACATTGATCATGATTAAATACTGTAAATTCAGAAATTATTGCATGCATTTATTAATGCGATTTTTGAAGAATTAACAAAAATGCGAGTTTAATATTGCGATTTTAGGAAAAGCTACATACCGATATATGTATTTGATATCAGAATGCGAGTTCTTATTATTGCGATACTCAAGTAGTCGCGTTATTCACATTTATAAAAACCTCGCAATAATTTCTAAATTTACAGTAAGCACCACTACCTTAAAGCATTTTGTAACACGTTATCAATTTGTACAAATTGAGCTCACCTAATAAGGACTTATAAGTAACTAAAAAAAAGTTTTGTAAAACCATGTTCTTATGTTGTGCTGTTACACTCTTGTCAGAGGTTAGGGGAGGGTTGGGCACCCACAAACATGTTTAACCCTGCCACATTCTGCATGTGCCTGTCCCAAGTCAGGAACATATAATGCAGTGGCTGTCGTTTGTAACGGTATGTTATATTTGTTTCTGTTTGAATTGTTTCACATTTGTCATTTTGGGGCCTTTTATAGCTTGCTATGTGGTATGGTAGTTAATGTAGGGCCTTTTATAGCTTGCTATGTGGTATGGTAGTTAATGTAGGGCCTTTTATAGCTTGCTATGCGGTATGGTAGTTAATGTAGGGCCTATTATAGCTTGCTATGAGGGTATGGTAGTTAATGTAGGGCCTTTTATAGCTTGCTATGTGGTATGGTAGTTAATGTAGGGCCTTTTATAGCTTGCTATGCGGTATGGTAGTTAATGTAGGGCCTTTTATAGCTTGCTATGCGGTATGGTAGTTAATGTAGGGCCTTTTATAGCTTGCTATGCGGTATGGTAGTTAATGTAGGGCCTTTTATAGCTTGCTATGCGGTATAGTAGTTAATGTAGGGCCTTTTATAGCTTGCTATGCGGTATGGTAGTTAATGATTGTTGAAAACCTTCGTTATGGTGACCTATAGTGTTAAGTCGTTGGGTCTCTGGGGGATAGTCATCTCATTGGCAATAATACAACATATTCTTATATTTCTATTCACGATTCATTGTGAGTAATACTGACCTGCTACACTTGGTAGTAACTGAGGGTTACCAGTTCCTTTGAAGAGTAAAGCTACATCAATCAGTGAGGCAGGTACAGAGAACTGTTGACCTTGGACTTCAATGAGAAGGGCATTACCACCAGATGTTGTTCCTGACAGACGGAATCCATTGTTGAATGTCACTGACACTACATTAGTATATGGCGCTGGAGCTGCTTCTTCGTGGGTGTTCTTTACCTGAATCATTGATTAGAATTTTAATCATTGATTATAACATTGAATCATTGATTAGAATTTTAAATCACGGATTGTAACTATTAACAATGGTTTTTATTATTTGCTAACATTTTATAATTTCCTGAGGTCTATATAAGATATTATTTCATTGTCAAAACTGAATGCCATTTCGTAAAATGAGCACTATACAATAAAGAACAAAGGCAATACGATAATTTTTTTGCCTCCACATTTAGACTGAAAATAGCTCAACTACTGTAAAACTTCAATGGTGCAAATCAGTAAAAAAAATCTCTATTAATTGGTACTGCACTAATGCCAAAATTGTCAATTCCAAACATTTCAACAATTTTATGCTTAAAAAATACAGAGCACATGCTTTGTCTCCTTTATTGATTTAATTAATTTCTAAACCCTTTGAATTGTATTTTTTAAAAACTCTAAACAAAAGTTGTACATCTTGTTCATAGAACGTTTAGGAGGCTTCATTAGAGAAGTGCTGACAACAAATAATGACAGACTTAAATGATGTTTGTAAACAGATTTAACAAGTTAACACATTTCAAAGGAAAAAAATATTGTTATTTTACAAATATACTCACATTTAATCCCATTTGTTTTGCTAAGGCTGGAGAATTAACTAGATTTAGAGTTGGACTATCCCCTCCTCCTAATGCAGGAGAGTTCTGTAGTAATCCTGAGAGTATAGCTGCACTCAAGTAGGATCCAGCTTGTTTCAATGATGGTCCTAGAAAAAAAAAAATTAAAACTCATCAAAAACATCACCTGTTCTAGACAATTAAAGTTTTTAATATGTTTGCCAGCAAAATTTTCAACATCCTTATATACTACAAATATTCTATTAAAATTGAAATTGATTTGATAATTTGAATAGTGTTATAAGATGGTATAAAGCCACTTATTTGGCCCCCAAAAATTCAAAAATCAAAAGTTGCAAAAAAACAAGCTAGGGTTGAGCGCTCAGTCAAGAACATGATAAACCCCGCCACATTCTTTATGTGCCTGTCCTAAGTCAGGAGCCTGTAGTTCAGTGGTTTTCATTGGTTCATGTCTGTCATATTTGTTTTTCGCAAATTTTGTTAAAAATAAGACAATTGGTTTTCTCATATAAATTGTTTCAGATTTTCATTTAGGGGCCTTTTTATATAGGTGACTATACAGTATGGGGTTTTGTCATTGTTGAAGGTTGTACAGTTGCCTATAATTGATTTCATCCACTTTATTTGAACTCTGTTTGATAGCTGTTTCATTGGCAATCATACCATATCTCCTTATCTTTATATAGATATAAATCTATCAACTCTTCCGAAAGGTGATTTAAATTAAAAACCTAAAAAAGTACTGATAAATTCAAATTCTGTTACCGGTACATACTTTGGCAGTAAAATGGAACTACTAGTTTTATGTTCTATCGTGTCTATATTCATGTAAAAGTCCTAACTTGTTCTGAATTCCTATATAAATTTACTGTTGTAAAGGGAGATAATTCAGTAGTGACTGTACATAAAAGATTCTCTTACCGTAAGTTGTGACTTGCATATGTTCTACATTTCCTGGGTTTAAACCTGCTGCCACTTGTCCTAACTTCCTACCAAGTTCTACCCATGGTCGAGATTCAGGACTCAAAGCATTTGTCATGGCATGTGCGTTTATCTGTAACATAATACAATAAAACTGAAAATTGAAAAACACAATGACCACAATTTTTCAAAATACTTTCAGTGTTTAAATACCATCTATGAATTCTAGTCTCAAACACTTTTTTAAACAGCTAGAATACATTCCAAACTTAAAATAAGTCTTAACGACAAACAATGAATGGCTATAATACATAGTTAGAAATTTTTTAGTGGTTGTGTAAAAAATTTTATCCCGACTTTGTATATTTCTAGGATTTTGATTGGATAACGCACGTCGTTACAAAACCCATAGCCCCTGGGTGTTGCTAACCCATATACCCAGACGTTGCTATCCATTACCCTGGGGGACTTCATGCGCATTTTCCTTAGTTCCATGGTTGTTCCTTGTGAAATATAGAATTCTGTAGATTATTCACGATGTCTGTAATTAAATATTTAATCCACTAACGATGTTATCTTATTTTGTCGATCATTTGCACTCATTTTAGTAAATGCATTACTTGGCTGCCACATTGTCAATGAATGGGACTACCGACCTAGCTATGCAAATAACCCACGTTGACGTCACACCGTCTATGATGTAACTCTCACAACATTGAGCGCCAAATTCAACCCACTCCAGTTTCTCTGTCTCTGTATTAAAAACTTCTTATATTTGACTACCTGTAGGGTTCTACCAAAGGTAGTACCCTACACCCCATAAAAAGATATGTCAAATTCCCAAATTTCAATAAAAGATTTTTAGAAAATGAAAAAAACGTTGCTTTCACGTTACACTTTGTGGTCGAATTTCTCTATAAATCGACAAATTTGGACTAAGACCGGGGATAAATTCGTTATCTACGTTCATATCCGTAGATATGAATGTAGATAACTTATAATACCTACATATGTTTTGAATAATTAATAGGTTTAGGTCCATTGTGACATTTTGTTAAAAGTACATATTCAACAATACAAAAGATCTCTTTATTTTCAGAGAATTCCAAGGTAATTGATGACCTGAAGAGATTTAGCAGGCCAAAAAAATACTTTTTTTAATTTGCAAGTCAAAGAAATTTTGCAAAAGTTATTTTTAACCAGCAACTTACAGCACCAAATAGACTTTTTCCTCGCACCACATCTACAAATTGTTCTGCAATCTCAACAGCCACTCGTTTCTGTGCTTCAGTTGTACTTGCTCCTAAATGTGGAGTGGCTAATACTTGTGGCATCTTTGCTAAACTAAAATCTTTGGGTGGCTCACTTTCAAACACATCTAGACCTGCTCCTCCACACTGCCCAGATTCTATAGCTCTCTTAATGGCAGCCTCTTCAATGATTCCACCTCTGGCTACATTTACTACTTTAACACCTTTCTTACAAACTGAGAATACTTGGTCATTTATTAAATCTGTAAAGACACAAAACATTTATCGTACAGAATGAGCTACATTTACTACTTTAACACCTCTTCTACAAATGTAGAATACTTGGTCATTCATTAGTTCTGTAATGACACAAAACATTTATCTTACAGAATGAGCTACATTTCCAGAGTTCGCGAAAATGGTCAGTCCTGTTGGTCAAAATGAGGCTCGGACCAGTATTTTGAAGGCTAGTGCCGGTCCCCATGACCGATGTAAAAACGGCCGTTGTAGTGCATATTTCGGCACTTTTTTACATCGGTTATTAGATGTACCGCAACTGTTTCCAATAAGTGTTTACATCGGTTATCAGATGTACCAATTTCCGGTACTGGTTTACGGATTCATTATAAACAAACCAAAGCGGCGATTTACATGTGGCCTACTAAATATGTTCATAGAGCCATCCCTGGCAAACAATCGGCGATTGAACCCTACAATGGAGCAAACAAATACTGTAACAGCCGAGAAAGTGATTCAGATGATGAAATGGATAGTGAAGATGACTTTAAATAAGAACAATCAGAAGACCTGAACTGGTACTTCATTGTTAATTTGCCTGTGGGTGCGAAGAATAAAACTAATATTAATAAAGTTATTTTTCGATAAAATACGTTATTGATTTTATTTCAAGATAAAATTGACAGATTTTGTAGGATTGGCTAAAATTTTGTAGGACTGACAAATAATCATGCTTTGTCGGTCCCATGACTGACGGGTCAAAATAAGTTTTCGCGAACTCTGCATTTCCTACTTTAACACCTCTTCTACAAATGTAGAATACTTGGTCATTCATTAGTTCTGTAATGAGACAAAACATTTATCTTACAGAATGTAGAATACTTGGTCATTCATTAGTTCTGTAATGACACAAAACATTTATCTTACAGAATGTAGAATACTTGGTCATTCATTAGTTCTGTGAAATAAAGACACAATAAGTGAGAATGACACATTTCTTAAATATTCTTTAACAAGTATATTCCAAACAAAAAGGTTAAGAAGGCATTTGGAAGCATTAAAACCAAAAGCAATTCTTAACCGAACAGACAGTCTAAGTTTGACTACGGAAAAACATTATATTTTTTTACATCCTAAAATGTCTGAAGACTTCTAAGAATAGAAAGTAGACCTACATACATCCTGGACCACAAAAGAGAACTTACTTCTGGTCTGTGGAATGAGTGGTGTATGAACTGTAATATAATCAGCTAGTGGCCAAATCTTCTCAAGTGGCATCCATTCTGTGTTAAACTCTGCACTAACTTCAGCTGGGATGATAGGATCATAACCAATGGTCTGAAAATACAAATTAGAAATTTGTATTCAAGTTTTTTCATCGCTATAAGTTCTCCATTATGTCCATTGGCATTTAATTTTTTAAAGCCCTCAAAATTTAGCTTATTCATAAATAAACTGTTGACTCAGAGATATGTCTTGCCTGTCTGCAGAAAATTCTGAAAAAGACAATCTGATGGACAGAAATAATTAATTCGAAGTCACTGGACCATGACAAGGAGGGCAGAAAGCTCAAAATGATCGTCAAATTGAAATGTACTGATAGTAATGCAACTTTATAGAAAATATCATTGTCTATCATAAGTTGTTAGTATCATACCAACTTAATCAGAAAACTTAAAATTGGAAATTGGTAATTTATTGAAAGTCACTGGACCATGACCTACGAAAAAAACGGCCCCGAAATAGTCACCAAACTGATATGTACTGATATTAAAGCTACTTTATAGAAAATATCATTGTTCTATCACAAGTAGTTCCTATCAAACTGACTTAAGCAGAAAACTTCACAATTGTTGACGGCAGTGCTGGAAAAGTAAGATGGGTATACGGTATGGGGTTTTCTCATTGTTGAAGGCCGTACAGTTGCCTTTAATTACTAACATCCACTTTATTTGAACTTTGGTGGATAGTTGTCTCATTGGCAATCATACCTCATCTTCTTATCTTTATATGTCTCATCTTCTGCCATTGCAGGCAAGACAAATATGACTGCATCCACAAAGCCAATTCTTCCTAAAGTCAACAACAGTCGTGTCATTTGCTTATTTGATGTTCCCCCATATATCAAATAAAATCTGTCATTAAAGATATTTTCAAATAGCACCTTGCTGTTGAATTTAACAGTGTCAAAGGAAACCAAATTTTATAAATGCAACTGCATGAAATAATTTGTGTGTATTCTAATGTTTAAAAAGTCCAGGTGAAAACACCATTGTAAGAAATGGCATCACTCTTACAGCCACTCTTTACTTGAAATTTGTGTCAATTACTTGTAAGCCTACAATGGCCAGTATTCAGATATGTAGCTTGTATATATCGTCTGGATGGGAATTCACAAGTTTTAATCATAAATCATACAAAATTGTCAACTTATTGCTTATTTTTTTAACTCTTCAATGACCAGTGTGTTTACTTACTGTCATCCCAAATGACTGCATCCTTAGAGCTACTTCTTTACCAATTCTGCCTAAACCTATAATGGCCAGGGTTTTTCCATAAAGCTCGTTACCCATCAGAACTTTTCTTTCACTCCATTTTTCTTCCTTCATAGCTCTATCACCTCGGTGGATATGTCTGAAAAATTAACATTTAAAATTCAACATATTTCATTCTATTGATCTATCAAATATCAAAAGCAATTCACAAACCAACATTTTGTTATGGAGCTAAGACAACTAATAAACACACTATAATGGTAATTATACAACCAAATTTTTCATAATCTGAATAACAAAATATACTATCTGTTATAGTCTTTGGTTTCCTTCTCATGACAAAAGTTTAGATAGTTCTTTTTTGTGTGTACTAAAGGAAAAGACATATTATTCTGCACGTTATTTGGTTAAGATGACCTTTGACCTTTTTGGCCATTCCACAATCTTTTCAAAACTCTTTTAATAATGCTTTGTATTATTCAAAATTATCAGTCAATATGTATTCTACAAGGATCAAAAGTCCTCCACCTTTCATTTGATACCTTAAATGGTATAATATATTCTACATAGTTTGTTTGATATTAACACCTATGTGTAGGAAATGTTGTTTTTAATATGTACTACTTTCCAGTATGTTCTTTTTTGACTGGGCCCAGATTTAGTTGTGTAACATCTTACAAGGTCTATCCAAATCATTTCGAAATGAATTTCGCTCAAACCAGTGCTAGGGGCGTCTTAAACTTGCAGTGTGGTGAGAGTTGTTTTTTTTTTTTTGCTCCATGTTTAAGGCCTCGCTATGACTTTGAGATGAAGAACAGCAATAAAAGAGCTGTTCCTTAGCTTTTTGTGTGTTATTTACTGTGCATGTACTGATTTTGTGTCATGGATGGATACCCCATATCCTTTGTTTTTCTATTCTGAACTATGTTTGATTCCAAGTGTTCCAGTGCAAAATTACTGTAGATAAGTTCTTCAGAATACCTGATTGTAAAATGTGTCATGTGTTTTGAGTTATATGCTCCTTATATATTTCAAAGTTACACCATCTCTCTCCATGGAGACAGCATTATGTCCTCAATGGTATCCATGCTTCCACAAGACAATAATTCAATCTTTAATTAAAATAACAAACTCCATGTCCAGTCTGTGTTTTTGTTTGATGTTTTTCTGCTTTGTATTGATCTGATGAGTTAATTCTTTTTCAACTGGTTTTTATAGTTTGTTCTTATGTTGTGCTGTTACACCACTGTCCCTGTTTAGGGGAGGGTTGAGCTCTCACAAACATGTTTAACCCTTCCACATTCTTTATATGCCTGTCCCAAGTCAGGAGCCTGTGGTTCAGTAGTTGTCTTTGGTTCATGTCTGTCATATTTGTTTTTCATAAATTGTTATGTCATAAATTAGGCCGTTAGTTTTCTTAATTGAATTGTTTCATATTTTTCATGTCGGGACCTTTTTATAGCAGACTATATGGTATGGGGTTTTCTCATTGTTGGAAGGCTGTACGGTTGCCTATAATTGCTTACATCCACTTCATTTGAACTTTGATGGATAGTTGTCTCACTGGCAATCATACCACATCTCCTTATTTTTATATTCAGTAACAGATTTGTCTTTTTACTGAGTTATAGTACAAGTTTACCTTGATAATGCCTAAATCAATGTACAAGTATGTTCAGCAGCATTTACCTTGATAATGCACAGATCAATGTACAAGTATGTTCAGCAGCACTTACCTTGATAATGCACAGATCAATGTACAAGTATGTTCAGCAGCATTTACCTTGATAATGCACAGATCAATGTACAAGTATGTTCAGCAGCACTTACCTTGATAATGCACAGATCAATGTACAAGTATGTTCAGCAGCATTTACCTTGATAATGCACAGATCAATGTACAAGTATGTTCAGCAGCATTTACCTTGATAATGCACAGATCAATGTACAAGTATGTTCAGCAGCACTTACCTTGATAATGCACAGATTAATGTACAAGTATGTTCAGCAGCACTTACCTTGATAATGCACAGATCAATGTACAAGTATGTTCAGCAGCATTTACCTTGATAATGCACAGATCAATGTACAAGTATGTTCAGCAGCATTTACCTTGATAATGCACACAGAACTTACCTTGATAATGCACAGATCAATGTACAAGCATATTCAGCAGCATTAACCTTGATAATGCACAAATCAATGTACAAGCATATTCAGCATCACTTACCTTGATAATGCACAGATCAATGTATAAGTATGTTCAGCAGAACTTACCTTGATAATGCACAGATCAATGTACAAGTATGTTCAGCAGAACTTACCTTGATAATGCACAGATCAATGTACAAGTATGTTCCGCAGCACTTAGTGTGTTTCCTCCTGGTGTACTGAAATAAATAAATGTAAATTGTTTATAAAAAGTTATGTTTCTCATTTTCTGTTTTCTTGACTGAAAGTATGCAATAAACAGCTGTGGCTTCCTTCGCTAGCCTCTTGATGTTAAAAGCATATTTTGAATGTAATATTGGTTCAACTCCACCAGATTTTGTGCCTGTACCACATAAGCCTATCTAAATCATTTGTTGGTTGTTGTATTTTGATTATGTGTTGGTTGTTGTTTTTTATATCTTTTGTACATCTTTTTTTACTTTTAGAAAAGTTGGTTGGTGGGTATGGTCTGTTGTACAATATTTTTAGTAATTCCTGTTATCTGTTTTGAATTATTAATGAACTCCTGAAATAAGGTGCTGCAAGTAAACCTCACAAATTTAACAGCCCATTAGAAATGTATAACTGTATGATATTAAAAGAGTGCTGTACATGCAATGTAGATCTATACAATACATTCTTACTTCATCACAATAATTCCACGTCTTGTAGCAACATCACAGTCAATGTTATCGACACCCGTACCTGCACGACCAATAATCTTCAGGTTGGTTCCAGCATTGATGACATCAGCTGTTACCTTAGTAGCAGATCTAACTACCAGTCCATCATATTTCTATATATAAAAAGAATATATTCAGCTTAACATGATAAATAATGAATTTTCAGCGTATTTTACCGAAATGTTTTACAAATGTTATCAGGTTATTATGTAAAAAATGTGTTAATGAGACGGAAATCCTACAACACAAAAAAAATCAACCAAAAGACCCCTGGACGGGTCCTTAACAATTGATGTGTATCTATACACTAGGGCAAGCTCTAAATCGCAACCTTTTTACAAAAGTTGTGAATACAATGTAGATTAAACAGAGATTATCAAAGTTTCACCACAAACATCAAATTTCATGAATGTCAAAAGAGGTCTGTCCTGGATGTTTGTAAGAGTTATCATATATTTCACACTGCATGTTCACAACAATGGGACATTTTTTAAATGTTTGAGATATTTTAGTGACATTCATATAAAGGGAAAACAAATTGAAAATATGGTACTACAAACTTTCCTGCTATCAATGCCCTCATGTAAAATGAAAAAAAGCTCTGGTGTAAAATTATTAAAAGGTTTTTAGAGAGAAAAAAATACAGAAGTGTGAAAAAGGAGAGGTAACTTGATGATTTGTTGATGGATGCTGTACATAACTGATGACAATAGAATAATCTAATTATACTTTGAATATTTTGGAACATTTCAATACATCATTAAAATCCATCTTCTTATTGATTGATTGATATTTAACGCCACTTTCAGCACTATTGTGCTATTTTGTGGCTGTCAGTTTTTATTGGTGGAGGAAGCGGGGAAAATGTAAGTGAAAAAGAAGATTTTCTAGTCATAAGATGTAATCAGTTTAAGGGATTAGTGTCCAGGAATGGGACATATTACTTTTAATCTTTACATAATTTGGACAGTATAAAGATACTGTAACAAATATAAAACCATTAGACAGGATGCAGATCAATAACCAGATTAAAACCCAAGAGTTTAATAGGATCTGTTTTGGATACAACATTATTTTTTATATTAACTAGGGTATGACACTAATGATTTTCCAATCTGATTAAAATACAGATCCCGTCTCAAAGCTTTCCTTACAAGGATCAAACAACGCTCTGTTTTACTTTCTGTTCTGGTAATTTTTACATCAGCCAATGAAATTTCAGCCTTCAAAGTTTTGATGGTGTGTATTAATCAGACAAAACCAGAGGATTCCGAAAGGTTTTCAAAACAGAAAGTAGAATAGAGCATTTTCAGATCCTTGTAAGCAAAGCTTGGACACAGGATATTTTAATCAGATGGATGATTTCCATCTTTCTTTGAAGAGACTAGTGACTGAGAAAAAATTATTTCTTGTGTTTAAATATCATCTGTGTTATGTTTGTAAGCCACTAAGATGATTATCTATAATAACAAATGGTATAAATCTGTTATGTTAGGTAATCCATGAGACTGAATATTTTTGTTCAACATCTTGAACTATTTCAAAGAAAAGCAAATAAAAGCAAATTGAATGTTAATTTTGTTCTACTTGGCAATTTTCTCTACATTTTCTGTAGCATTATTGCCTGAATACATTAATTCATTTTACAAATGTATTAAGATCATCCTTGCCAAACGGTAAATAAAAACTGAAAATTTGCAACATTTATTTTTCGATTGCAGTACAATCAAAATAATCATCAGTAAAATCAAAGATACTTTCATATTTTGGAATGTTCAATTAAATTATGAAAATCTAGAACTTTTTATGCTTTTGGGAGATAACAGTGGTAAAATCGAACCAAAATATACTTGTGTAAATCTCTTTTTTATTTTTACAAAATGGTCCATGTGGAAAATAAGAAACAAAATCAAATATGATGGGATAAAAATGTCATCTACAGATATTTTAAATCTTTGGAAATCATACATGATAATCAATCTGAAATCTGTACCCAGCTATATATCTAATAATACAATAGACACAGAAAATTTAAACATATTAATTAATAATATATGATAAAAAATAACTGTAAAGGACGATGTTATGCAGCCTGCATTTAATGTACTCTTTAATTTGTATTAGGTAGTCCATTGCTCAGCAGTGCACTTGATTATGTTATCATGGTTATAATGTTATATTATTTAGTGTAAGTATCTAGAAAGCTGTTTTTTTCATTTATTGTCATATAAAAGAATGTTTAGCATTTTTATTATACTATTTTTTCGTGTAATAAATACTGCATGAATTTGTTTTACATGTTTTTTTTGTACATTTTGTATTTTAAAACATAAATTTAAGAATTTTAAAATCAAGATTTAGACTGCTGCTTCCTGGGCAACTGAGGAAATTGTAAACAGGAAAATTTTTGAAAAAAACAAATATCTATTAAAAAAAAAAAAGATCATCCAATATACAAAGTTTAATGAACTTCTGAAAAAAGATCAAACAACCTAAATTCCTCAAGTGCACTCTAATCACATTAACAGATTAAAACATTTACTGACATACAAAAGCATGTATATAACATAAAGGGGACACACTGAATAACTACAATATTTGCCTTAGGATAATATCTTAGTACATTTGTATTATGAATTATTGTCCTATTAATACCTAAAATGGCATACACAAAAAAAATACACTTCTTAGTATTGTCAGAGTATCAATAAGAATGTGTCCATAGTACACTGATGCCCCACTCGCACTATCATTTTCTATGTTCAGTGGACCATGAAATTGGGGTCAAAACTCTTAATTTGGCATTAAAATTAGAAAAATCATAGCATAGGGAACATCTGTACGAAGTTTCAAGTTGATTGGACTTCAACTTCATCAAAAACTACCTTGACCAAAAATTTTAACCTGAAGCAGGATGGACAGATGGACGAACAAACGGACACACAGACCGAAAAACAGAATGCGCCTAAGTGGGGCATAAAAATGTTGATTTTGGTTAGTTTTTCTACATTTGTTCTATATAGTACATGATATCAGGGCTCACACTACTTCAGAATCATAGGGAGAAGTGACTTCTCTTTTTGAAATTGATAGAGAAAAGTGGTGCGACTTAAAAGAAAATTGCTTGTTCACTTGTGGCGCTAAAATGTTTGGTTTTTACCAGAATATAAAGAGCCATATATATCTTATTTATTTAATTATTTTCTAAATTGTTTCATTCATACCTGAGAATACAATAAAGTAACAGCTGTTTCAGTTTATGTCTTAAATAATCATTCATAGTTACACAATCATATTTGTTCCTTTGTCAGAAACTACCAAATATTTATCTAACACTAAAAAGAACTTTTTTTATAGCAAATAGGAAAAGAAAGTATCATACATCAATTAAAATTCAATCCAAAAACTATTTTGTTTATGAAATTCATTGTTTCTCATTAAAAGATATATAAATTTAACAAAGATAAGCAACTTTAATCAATAAAATGAAACCATGCATTTACATGGAAAAATAAACAATTAGCAAGGAGATCTAACCAAAAGTCTGTTAATGCGTGTGGAATGCGTAATTTTCCCTTTTCGGGGTCAGTATTCTTCTGTCAGCTGTTCCATTCGTTTCTCTGTAGTTGTTATAGTAATACAGATTTTTGTCATAGCGGATCCTCTTAAGATGAATGCTGCCTCTGATCCTGTGGTTCATATAAATATTTTGAAATGGCGGACAAAAAAATAATTTACAAAAATTAAAAAAAGTTTGACAAGTGATATGGAAAGAAATATGACGCTTTCAATGCAATGATTGGATAAGGCATTAACTATAGGCAATTTTCAACACATTCTAATGAAGTAACAAACTTATTTTGCCGAAAATCAAAATGTTTTGATATACGTTCTTAAGTAACAAGTACCAGAAGTGAAAGAAAATACTTCATAAAAGTTGTTTCTTTGAAATAACATACAACAAATCTGTAAACAATGGTAAAGTCAATACTTTCTCATTTTTTCTAGAGAAATAAAGTATATTAAGTTTCACTTGTACACTGCTGTAAGAAGTTAAAACATTTTGAATAATCCTGGATGGGATACTGATTATGATATATATATGATTACCAGATCGCTTGACAGTTATTGGATTGAGACCAGGGAAGTTGTTACATGAAGATCATTGCACATGATGCACTATCTTTAGTAGGCTTGCATCTTAGCTATGGTAACCTAGGCCTTTTACAAGCATAACAGCTTCAATAATACAAAGCACTGAAAACAAATCATCCATTGGGTATTTTTTCAACAACAGGTCATCTTTATAAATTAACATTAATTCAAATGGATTTTAAATTGAACTGGCCAATTGTCGAATTCAGAAAAGCAATGTACAAAAGTTTTAAGTACTTAAAGAATAAGTTTGAGTTATTTCCCTTTGAACAGAAATACGGTTTAACATACATTTGTAGTACTCTAACATTAGATATGATTAACAGTTCTCTAAAATTAGATATGATGTAACACAATGTATATCTTTTTTCAAATTATATTCAAATATAATTAATAGTTCCAACTATTTTTTCTTTCATTTGTCACAAGCTAATACAGATCTGCAACTTATCTATGATCAATGTCAACAACTTTAAATGTAATGAAATATATCCTATAATAAATATAGATTATTATCTAATTACAGAAGTTCACTTCATAAAAAAAAAATATATATGTAGCATTCAGAAAATTAGTTTATACAGAATAACAAACAAACCTAACACAAAATTCTTCAAACAATTTACCAAAGAAAAGAAAAAAAAATCCAAAATGTCATTTATCATTAATACAATGTCTTAAAAATCTTTTAAAAAATGAGTTATTTCCCTTTGTACAGAAAGCGTTTTCATGTAAATGAACGAACACTGTTTGGCAGCTGCCTGCCCGCCGTACATCCCCAAGTCAATAACCCATTTTTACTTTGAAAATCCGGTTAAAAATGTAAAAAAAGGTTTCCTTTAATGTTTAATTAATCATTTGACAAAATGGATCATGAATAAAAATTGTCATGATAATCAAGAAAAGGTTCATTTATCTAAGACTTGGAAAGAAAGGCGGAAGATAAAAAATCTTCATTGAATTTACTCATACTAAGCTCACTACATGCAGTATTTACATCAAAACTAGTTAAAACAACAATCATGGTTTTCAAACACAGAACAATAATGCCAAAATTATTTGGCTTTGTAAATACAGTATTCATACATAATTTAAAACACTTTAATAATTAATAAAAAAATCATGAAAAAAAATATTTCATTTAAAAATCATAAAATTTAAATATTTTGATAAATAAACATCTAATTAAATAATTCAACCAGTATTTGAAAAAATAGGGTGCAAACGAACCCAGGGGGCGGACGAGTGTGGTGCGAACGTGTTAACAGTCTTCACGCTTAACCACAAGACCACCAGCCCAGGCTTGTAAAAACTAAAATTGCTTTCGGGCTTGTAAAATTCTTCTCTACAAGCCAACACAATCCAACTAAAATTATCATAAAATTGAGCTGCGGGCTTGTGGATTCAAAAGTTTATCGTGAACACTGCCGTGTAGCTTAAAAATTTGGGAGCGAACTGACCCGATACCCTGAATTACTTACTGGAATTTCTGTCAATAGTTGTTCTTTCGTTAGTTTTGTATTTTTCACTACTTGAATTCCATTCTTCTGTAAAATTTCGACACACTGAGTGTCAATTTCATCTGTGATTAAAACTGATTGCAACTGAAAGGACATTGTTCTTTTCTAACAAACACGTCTTCTGTATTCGATGTTTTCTAGCAGTCGGCAGTGCAAAACGGTGCACAGTTAAATTACTGCAAGCACCTGTTGGCGTAAACGTTCCGATTTAATAAAAAGTCAAGTTGTTTGTGCAATTATGTGCTATGGACTGAAACAGAGAGTAAAGCTTAAAATGTAAACCACTTGGTCTTGTCGGAATAGTTACAACAATTACAAGTCAGTTGAATGTATCAATGAAAGCGGACGTAAATACTTATATAAACATTATTTAGATGTACACCGTTGTGAATGTCATCGGAACTTTTCGTTTAATGTCATCCGGAATAGTTTGGGAGTTTTCCTTGAAAGTAGGTCAACCTACTGAGCATGATGGAAATTTCCCAAACCGACCAAAAGTGCTTTTTTCAACTGAATATTCAAATTAAATCTGGGACAACCTATTCCCATATTAAATAAACTGTAGTTTTTTATTATGTCAGGCGATTCAACATGGACGCTCAAACACCATCATAATATTCATTTTGACGGAAGGTGACATAGAGAATTCAAGGAATCTTTCTTTATTTAAAAAGTATTTTTAAAAATAAAAATTATACTACATGAACTCAAGGATTTGTATAGTAAGATCTTACTATACAAATCCTTGATGAACTTATCTAGAAATCTATTGATACTACCATATAAATATATTTCTAAGTTTTGTATTGTAAGGTAATTTGTATCATAGTATATAGTTGAATTTTTTTTCCATCTACCTCTTTCTATAGGTAATCTGAGGCAAATTAGTCTAAATTGACATAGAGTGTAAATATCACGGGGTTCCAAAACATCTAAATACTTTTCGAATCCAAAGAGTTCCTCGAAAAGGCGGTAATTTAATGTTTTCCAGTTCGTTTGAATATCTGAATACCATGTTTGTTTAAATTGATCTTGGAGAAATGTTCTAACAGCAGTCTTTAACCAAATTTCATTAATACAAGTTTGAATTAACCATAATAAGATAACCAGTTTCATTAAGAATAGATTCTATACATTTCATCCATAAAATTTAACATTAGTTCCATGAGATAAACTAAAAAAAAACATTAATTTGTATGTTATAGCTGATAATTTACTGGGATTGCTAAAAATCAACTTTGCCCAGTAAGAAATCATGCGTCGGAACTTTGATATCTAAACTAATAGGATAACCCTTATGAAAAGAGAAACTTTGCTGCAACCTTGCGGTAAGGTTGTAGCAAACTTGTGGCAATCTCTTTACTTCGCCAGAAGACCTGAAAGTTGTTCACAGTGTTCGCCCCTAGCAGCGACCTTTCGGCAAACAAATGTAAAAGTTTGCCGCAAGTTTGCCGCAAACTCTTAACTTTCTTAAAATTGAAGGAACTTTGTAAACAAACTTTAAAGCAGTCCTAAAGTTTGCTGGAAGATCGCCGCAAACTTTATAACATACTGAGCATGCTCCCTGCACTAAAATCAGACTTCCTGCTTCTTTAAATTTGAAATAGGAGGGAAGTTTTAATGTTGGTGTTTTCATGTAAAAAGTAAATGGATGTTATATATGATAGATGTCCGAGTTATATATGAATCAATTAGTTCCTGAAACAGGCCATGCATCATTGACCATCTCTTTGAAAGTCATTTTAAACATTTTTTGCATGTTAATTTGTTATTATTGGTACAAAATTTATGTCAAAGAACCCCCATTTTGAAAATAACAATTGTGTTACACCCTTACTGCTCTTAGAGAAATATCATTACAGTTGTAAACTTAAACTTTGTGGATAATGACGTTTTGCAGGAATAGTCAAATAATTTGTGTAATTCTTTATTGTTAAATCACATTTGATCAATATTTTAGATATAATTTTATGCTTAATACAGTATAAATGTTGTAATGCCTTAATCCCAGTTTCTTTATAATTGGCTTTATAAAAACAGATATGTTCTTGATTTTTTTCATACATATGAATCTGTTAAGAAATAATCAGCTCATTCTGAATTCTGCACTGAGTAAATTAATAGATATACATGTACCTATATTGGTTTTTTTTTGTGGTCACAGTTCATATTTCTCTCTTTCTCATTTCTTTAAAAATGAAATTTTGATCAGCAGGTGAGCAGATAAATAACAATTATTGGTCATAATAATTAATACAATTTAAATATTGATCCATATATATATATATATATATATATATATATATGTGCATGCATGTTTTGAATGAGACGTAAAGTTTTGAAAAGAATTAACAGAAAGGTAGTCACAGGGCATCATTATCATTTGATTTGCCAGAAGTTCACCGTAAACTATATAAGGCTTTGAAAGTTTGCTGGAAGTTCACCACAAAAATTGCCAGAAGTTCGCCACAAACTATATAAGGCTATCTAAGTTCGCCAGAGGTTCACCACAAATAGTCGCCAGAAGTTCACCACAAACTATATAAGGCTATCAAACTTTGCGGCAAGTCTGCCGCAACCTTCATTTGCATGGTAAAAAGTCGCGGTGAAGTTGCCGCAAACTATTTGCAGCAACCGTAATGCAGTGTTTGCGGCATATCTGCCGCAACATTTCGCCAGAAGGCTGATTTTTCAGTAAGGGAACGTCTTTGAACTAGCTTTCAGTAACTGGGCGTGCTCTTATTTCGGTGCTTTGTTTCTTTTGTTTTTATGTTAGTTATGTTTATGCCTTGTTGCGATCTTTTGAATTAAGCTAATTGCTACTGATTTTTACAGTTTGTTCTAATGTTGTGTTGTTACACCACTGACCCAGGTTAGGGGAGGGTTATGCGCTCACAAACATGTTTAACCGTGACATCATTCTTTAAGTGCCTGTCCCAAGTCAGGAGCCAGTAGTTAATTGGTGGTTCATGTCTGTCATATTTGTTTTTCGTAAATTGTTTTGTTATAGATAAGGCCGTTGGTTTTCTCGTTTGAATTGTTTCCCATTTTACATGCCAGGGCCTTATAGAACCGACCATACGGTTTGTTTTTTTATTCATTGTTGACATTCTAAATAATATGTAGATCTATGATTTAGCTACCCCATGAGCCCGCGAGTTGTGATAAATCTGAATTTTAATGACATTGCACAGTTGAAGGCCGAACAGTTGCCTTTAAATACGTACATCCACTTCATATGAACTATGGTGGATAGTTGCATTGGCAATCATACCACATCTTATTTTTACATGACATAGTATAGTGGTATTCGTCACCGATGTCCATCGAGTCACAGAGATGACACACTATTTCGCTTCTTAGTTTAAACATATTTTATTTGCTAAATCTAATCAAAATGGATGAGACAGAAGTAAATCATACTTATGAAGTCTTCGCCATATTACAATATAAGTATATATACAACAATAATATTATGAGCATGCATGTAAAACGAACAAATTCATAAGATATTACACGAACTATAAAGAAAAAGAAAAAGAAGCAAATCATATTTTCTGTGATGCCATGATGACTAAGGTTTTGATGACGATGATCGTCCGTGCCAGTATAAATAACGCTTTAAGAAGATACTAATCAAAGTACTGAAGTACTGAACATCGGATGACCGCAAGTTCTTGTGGATGGTCAAAAGCACTTGTCACAGAAAAAAATCACATCTCTATACCTGAAACTGAGGTTAATGTACAGAGATATATTTTTTTCTGAGACAAGTTCGTGCGTGGATGATGAATAAATGACATGAAATTCAACCTCACCGTAATAACTACATGTATTATATTGTAGTGATACAAATCAGTATACACTGGTTTGTTGTTATATATTATATTAATATAACAGTTACATGTATATATATAATTTTCATCAATTTGTATATCATTCTAATTCTACTATTCTAATAATAGTGCAGTGCAAGTGCATGGTGGACACTCCTCTGTAAAAATTCGATTTTTCTAAAAGATTGGATATGAGTAGGCATTCATATTTTCCCGCAAAAACAATTACAGAGTTACCGGTCCTTGCCGGGATTGTCGCAAAACGTTCTTGAGATATTCTTCCGCATGCTTTAACACAAATTTTCGGTACGTGTGCATAGATATTATAAATGATTTTTTACTTATATATATATATATATATATTTGTAGGACTCAAATCTATGGTGGGTTCCAGATCTATGGCAGATTTCTAATCTATGGTAAATATGACGTCACAAACGCCAAACAATCATAAATCTATGGCATTTTTTTGTTTTCTCCAAATCTATGGCAGATTTAATATTAGGTAATTTTTCTTGGAAAAAGAGTAAATTATAACGTCACAAGAAAATAACATCATATAAAGTCCATGCCGGGGCTAACGATGACGGTTTTGTTATATAAAAGGAAACAAAAAGACCAGTTTTCAAGGAACCTAATACATAAATTAAATTATATTCCAGAATTCGAGTTTACGGTAACGGAAATCCCTACAAATGAAAAGATGAACTCATCTGATTCGATTGAAATAAGAATACTAGCGAAAAAACTCATATAGTAATTCGATGCAGCAAAATCGCTAGTGTAGTCAATTTCACGCAAATGAAATTTCTTTTTGACGTTTTCGGTGTTTATGTTTCGTGTTTGTTTTCGCTCCTTGTTTTCTTGTTCTTGTGTTCCTGGTGTTGCCCTCTTGCTTAATTGTACGAGTTATTACTGTGCATTTTAGTTTGGTTTTTGTTTTTCTTTTTCTTTCGTACAATTTTTGTTATGCTATGCTGTTTTCTTGTTATTTTTTTTACCCCTATGGTACTCTTTAATTTTCTTTTAGCATAACCTGTACTATTGTAGCAAATAATCTCACTTGAAATTAAAAAACTAAAAAAAATATTTCATAAACTTCTAATAACTATTTACACCATTTTCAGCTAAAATTAGGTTCAATAACTGTACTGTTGGAGAAATAAGGATTTTTTTTTAAATGCCACGTTTTTGAGGCAAGTCATTGTTCATTACAGGAATTAAATCGTCATTATTTAAAAAAAGATTAATGCTGATATAAGTATTTGGTTAAAGTTCAAACTGATTAATTCTTTTTATACAAACTGATTTTTGAGTTGTTAAAGGACTTGGTTTAATGAAGGGTCAAC